TCAATTCAGTTATCTTAATTTTGAAGCAAAATTAATCCAAGTGTCTCTATGACTGAACACAACTAAAATAAATGAACCAGATTTTGTGTTGTTTTTTGGCACAAAATCTATTGTTTCAGAATTGAGGGGCAGTGCGAGTGACAACCTCCTTTCAAGCCTGTTGAATAGGGGGCAGGGATAGGGGAAGGAATAATCTGTTACTTCATTCCACAAAGTCAAAAAGCTGGAGGTGAGAACTGGGACCGGTGAAGTGCTGGGGAAGTGGCATAGAGCCCTGGTCTGTGTTTGGAAGTACTTCGTAATTATAAATAATAAAATGAGATCATTTGTTGAGCCCCTCAAACTTCTTTCTCAGTTTTCCCCATCAGAAAAAGGAAACCCCATTTTTACAGTTATTCAAGTCAAAACACTAGAGTGATCTTTTCTCCCTTCTCATATCCAACTCATTAGTAAATCATGTCGGCTCAATCTCCAATATATAAGCAGAAGTATATCATTTCCACAGTACCATCCTTGTCCCTTACTCAGATTACCCTAATACTCTCCTAACTGGTCTCCCAGCTTCTGTCCTTGTCCCAACAAAATCTGCTCTCCATGCTATAGTGGTCCTTTTAAAACCTGACGTTCAAGCATGTCTTCCTTTGCAGGAAATCCTTACCTCCCCTACAGTAAACCCCAGATCCTTGCCACAGCCATGCCTATCATCCCTGAACTCACTTCTCCACTTCCCCTGCTCTCTGCTCCTGCCACTCCAGCCTCTTTCCTGTATCTTAAGCATGAACAAGCCAGGTAACTCCTGCTTTGGGACCTCGATATCTGCATGATCTTTGCACAGAACATTCTTCACTTTACGTGGTTCACTCTCACTTCCTTCAGATCTCCACTCAAATATCACCTTTTCAAAGATGCCTGTCCTGGTCACCCTATATAAAATAGCACCCTCTTCCATTCTCAACATGCTTTATCCTGATTTATTTGTCTTCATAGCACTTAGCATCACCTGACATTTTAAAATGTCTTTTTCTGAAATACATAACCTGATTTCAGAACAGGGCTGGGAACAGAGTGGGTCATCAATAAACATTTACTAAATGACTGTATGAATCAGTTTCAGATGAATAAGCTTAGAGACATTCATTCAATCTTATATAACAAGATATAAAATTAATAAGATTTTCTTTATATATTCTCATTCAATCCACTAGAAAGGATTTATTCTTCTAATAGTCAAAGAGAAAAATCTACTTAGAAAACTTTTGTGATCTGAGGGGGAAAAAAGTGTAATTCTTCAAAATTATATACAAATATACAACTAGAGGCCCAGTGCACGAAATTTGTGCACTTGGGTGGGGGGAGGGTCCCTCAGCCTGGCCTGCGCCCTCTCGCAATCTGGGATCCCTCACTCTTATGCTCAGCTTGCTGCTCCTTAGCGGCAGGCTACTTACCACTCGGCTCACTGCTCCTTAGCCCTGCATCGGAGGTGGGAGAGACTCCCGCCACTGCCACTGTGCTTGCCAGCCATGAGCCTGGCTTCAAAAATTCCTTAATGCTACAATGTTAGGAAGATGTTAATATGCATATTGTTGAATGCAAAAATACTAACATGACTTCCTCAATGTGATTAAAAACATAGATTCTAATGGGAATATAAGAATTAATTCTAGCCCTGGTCGGTGTGGTTAGAGCGTTGTCCTATGCACTGGTCAGGGAACATGCCTAGGTTGCCAATTCCATCCCCAGCAGGGGGTGTACCAGAGGCAGACAATCGATGTTTCTCAAGACAGTACTCCTCTCTCTCTCTCTCTCTCTCTCTCTCTCTCTCTCTCTCTCTCTCTCTCTCTCTCTATATATATATATATACACACACACACACACATATATATATACACATATATGTATATATATCAATAAAATGTATTTTTTTTTTAAATAAGGTTTCACTACCTTCAAAATGAGAGATTAGAAAGAACTCCAAGGTATCCCTTGGGAATTAAACTCCTATTTAATACTAGAGGCCTGCTGGTAGGATCGGGGCTGATGTCTGAGGCTGTGGAGTCCTTCTGCCTCCAGGCTCTCCCTCCTGCATCATTTCATGGCGCCTCGAGAGCAGTGTGTTTGGGAAAACACCCCTGTGGTCCCTCACTTCTGGTGGAGGCCCATTGGCAGCTTCCTCTTGCCCCACGCTTCTGCTGGCATACTGGGTATCCTCCATGCTTATAACTAACTCCCAGTCAGTCATCTAACTCCTATTCTCTTGGATTTGTGACCTTTTCAGTTCCAATTCATTCATACTTCCCATTTTCTATCCCAGATGCTGGCATCACTAGGATCTGTTGCAAAAGCTCTAACTCTATGCCACCATGCCCTCATCTATAAATAAAGAACCTGGCTGGACATGAATAATCCTCATTTCTCCAGTGACTACCATGTACAGGCACTGTGAGGTAGGTGTTATTATTATGCCCCATTTCCAGACAATGAAACTGAAGTTTAGAAACGTTAACTAAATCCAAAGATACAAAGCAGATGACTGGTAAACCTAGAGTTGGAATCTAGTCTCTGGTGCTCCTAACTAAATTACACTGCATTCTTTACATGACCTACAATGGACCTTTCAGCCTAAACAGTCTGAGATTCGCTGAAAAAGGAATGAGCCAAAGTAGAGAA